AGAGAGAGAGAGAGAGAGAGAGAGAGAGAGAGAGAGAGAGAGAGAGAGAGAGGAGTTACGTTGTAAGTTAATTGCTATGCTGAACAATCGAATTTTCTTATTAAGGATCAGTAATTACGTCATTGTTTGGCGCTGGTTGTCGAATGCAGGCAACAAGGGAAATCAGGACCTGGTGTCGTTCAGATTCTCTACCACCTGGAACAGCTACGTAAGACTCTGAAGTCAACTTCGTGTGAGTATCACCATATTTAATCATATTAATAACTGTAATATGATATTTAATGCATATTATAATATTTGCTATCAATCAGAACGTCCATCTGATGTTCACCATTGACTTGAGTATTTAGTGAGTTTTCCAAGGGCTGATAACATGCTTAAACTAGTGTGATATTTCTCAAAGTGAATAGATTTCATGTTGAGGCTGAACTCGAAATTTAAACTGCAAGTTCCATTTTTTCCTATTTCAGTTTTCAGTCATTATCTAGTCCAGCATGCACTGCAGCAAGTACAGCTCACGTGTACGGAAAGCCAGAAAGCGAAGTACGTATGGAGTAGAACTTATTTTGTAAACTTTATATCTATTCCTAAGCTAGGGCTAAGGCTGCAACGATACACTGGGACACCGTTGTATTGAGATACACAAGTCATGATGAAATACACAATACATTCTATTCTGTATCACGATACAAGCGATCACTCCTTCACAAAGCTTACATATCGTTGCAAATTTTAGGTTCAGTGATTTGTTCTCGCTGATGGAAGATATTGACGATATCGGTGTGAAGCCGTCGTCGACGCGATCGCTGCGTGGTGGCGCCCGCACCACCAAGCCCACCACCAACCTCAGGTCCAAGGCAAAGTCCTCCGAGAGGGAGAGCGAGTCAGACACGAGCGACGTGAGTGTTTGTCTACACGTCTGATCCCACTATAGGATAGGGTTTGGTGTACTGGGGGGACTAGAGGCTGGGTTTTATTCCTCTAGACTAGAGGCTGGGTTTTATTACTCTAGACTAGAGGCAGGGTTTTATTACTCTAGACTAGAGGCAGGGTTTTATTACTCTAGACTAGAGGCAGGGTTTTATTACTCTAGATTAGAGGCAGGGTTTTATTACTCTAGACTAGAGGCTGGGTTTTATTACTCTAGATTAGAGGCTGGGTTTTATTCCTCTAGAATAAAGACTGAGCTTTATTCCTTTAGATCAGAGACTGAGTTTTGTTCCTCTAGGCTAGGGACTGCTCGAGTTGTATTCCTCTAGACTAGAGAATGCATTCTGGACCAATAAATAGAGGATTCATTATTGGATACTGGAGGATGAGTTAAATTTCTTGTGGCAGTCATAATTACCTTCTCGTGTTATCATATAAGTTTGTCTTCACTAGTATTTACACAAGCGTTCAACGTCAAGTGTAAACTATCTCGTTTCATGCAGGATGAAGAGATCATGAAACCGAAATCGAAGAAGAGGAAAAAGTCGATGGTTGGATCTGACAGTGATTGAACAAGCAGCACATGAGAGATTGCTAGCAAAGGTATTACTGTGATGGCACAGCTAGGAGCGCTCCTGCAAAAGTTTGGTCATTGCAGGAAAAGGCCTAGGATAGAATGTATGCGACGCCCGGAACAAGGCCCGCGCTTGATGCGCAAAAGCAGAGAGATCGTAAAAAAACATGGTAGCTGTGGAACCCTTTGAGTGAATCACGAAAGTGTTATTTCCGTGGTGATTTGCATGGTGACCAGCTCGGCCAGCAAATATTTGCCGAGTCCAGCTATTGCGTTTCGTTATGCATCGCACGAGAAAGGAAATCGCGTATTTCGTGAGTCGTGGAGTTTTATCACGATGTACGACAGCAGTAAGCAATGCAGAAATCTAAACTCCGTAGGTTCTTCTGCCTGTACAGGTAATTTTAAGAATGTATGGCTGGGAGGTTCATTTTACTATGGACGTATGGTAGTAAAGATGATAAAGAAATAGCACACTTAAAGGCAATTGTGTGTCGACAGGTGTGTTGTGGCCCTTGTGGTAGTGGTCACAGGCATGATAGAGTCACACGAGTTATCAGATTAAAGTAACGAGACTGCATTCAGGGAGTGAGAGAAGGGACATTCTCAATTTGGTGGTGGTGCCTCCTGAATCACGCTGTTGAATTGTAGACTCGTATCTAATTGCATTCACAACCAACTTGTATATACCATCTCTATTCAAGCAGTGACTTTGTGCACCAGTCGGCTCGTGAAAATGACATCTGGTCCGATGCAAACACTGCGGTTGGGTTGTGTAGTTCTCTTTTATTAAACTTTTCTGTACATGGCATACATACGTTAGTGACGGCAGCCGTCCATAGCAATGTCATATCTCATCCATCCTCTATTTCTGTCTCATAGACTCCATCTCATACCCTTGCATATACATCCCTTCATTCCTATACTTGTATACACATATTTCTCTGTCTGTGTCTCTATCATGATACGCGATGAATCTATGGTTGATCGGTTTATTAGCGCTGTACAGGTAATCCTTTAGACGAGGACCAATTTCTGTATGCATTGGTGCATCCGTGTCTGCACATGTACCGATGTTAACGTGATAACACTAGTAGCTCACGTTAATTGTACCACACGATTATGTAATCGTTGTTCATCAAGGGCATTGATAGCCTTTGTCATAGGCTTCACCTGAATCAGTGAATGTAATTAAAGTAGGGGATAGCTTTACAGTGTCAGAAGTTTCAGTCTAACACTGAGTCCGTGTGAAATGACAGACACACGGAGATAATTTAACTCGAGATTGTGTAAAATGTAGTAGCTAGTTTGGTTAGCAATGAGACTGTGCATTTGCTATTGAAGAACGTTGAATATTATATAGCAATGAACAGTGCATTTTTTTAAATTATGTACAAATATGTGAAATATAAAATTTTTAAATTAAACATATGGTTCTTTACAAATGCCTGTTTATGTGTGCATGCAATGTTTCTCTGTGTATGAAAAATTCAAACTTTATTGGCTTTATTCATATTGTATTTATAGAAAGTATGTATCTCATTCCTTTCAATGAAGTCATTACAACGATGGGGAAAATGCATTATGTGAGATAAGCTACAAAGCAGACATGCTCTAATACACCAAACAATGTTAAATTGTACACAACATTTATTTCACTAATGAACATAGTTCAGTTTCTGAATTCCTTTTTGAGTTATGCATTCCAACTTGGGTGTAAAGTAACTGATTTCCAATAACGAACATTTTACAAGCATTTCTAACAGTATAGTGTGCTGTCAGAACACTACAGTGGTGTGAAAGAAATCCCAATACACTAAATTAATAACAACTTGGCTCGGCACTGCGAATGTCTACACTTTGTATCCCACTATGTGACGTCGACCGATCACCTCACCCACAAAGAACCAGAAGACGATCTCAGCTCCTACTAATGTGTTCTGCCAGCCCTCCTGGAAATAAAACGACGTCAAACCGTGAGTAACGCAATTAAACTGCCAGCATATGTAGGACAGTGAAACAGCACGTGAGAGTAAGACTCCCAAATAAGAGGTGTCATACTTGTTCCCTATTGTATTAGGGTCAAAACTTGTGCTTATATCCTTAGGCCAAACAAAAAAATACCTTTGGTTCGGGTCACATGGATTGTGAAAATTAGGGAAGGTAGGTAGGTATAACTTCTTTTTTTTTCACAAGTTAAATATACAGCTTGATACAGCTGGAAATGCAGCTTGAAGGCATTTTTTTTTTTTTAAACCCTCTAAAAGTGACCGCAGTCGCACATTTTTTCACTCCAAAAAGGGTGACCCGAACCAAAGGTAATTTTTTAGTCGGCCTTAGGAAAATTATTAACCTACCACCTCTCACCTTACTAACAACATGGGTATATCACTATATGTCAGCATGTGCAATGTCACTTGTATGCAGAACAAGTTTTGACAGAGAGGCAACGAATGATCTGACTATAGATAAGTCATTGCTTTATACAATTGTGTAATATAAATAGATGGATGGTCCTTTAATGAACTGATATGGTTTGCATACTTACTTCAGCTAATTAATAACAAACACGATTCTAGACATAGAGCAAACAATTGTACATGAACGATACCTTGTTAATACTGCCAGTGGCATACATATATCTATAAGTTTCTGTACTCATAGGACACTAACCCTAACTGAGAGTTCCTTCCACTTTTGTGTCCTCCATGCAGTAGCAAGGTTCTGGAAACCTTTCTGTACAGCAGGAAATTCTGCGGGCGACGGTGGGGTCATCTCTACCTTGGCATAGCGCCAAAATGTCTGCAGCCTTGGAACTGCGAATGCTTGTGTTCCTGCAAATGCATTTAAAAATTCCATCAAAATAACATATTTACAGCATTCTGTACCATCCGGTGTTCAAGTCAGACTGACAACTACACGAGTGGGACATGGTTGTAATTATTTAGCTGCATATTTTATTTATTTAGTGATTGTTTGTAATGTGTGCATTAGTAATTATCTTTATAAACAATAAATTAATCAAGTAACCTACTACCTAGGCATGTACTGGTGTACCACGAGGGGTGGGGGGTACATTCCCACTTTCCCAGCAAAAAAACACCCCATATCCCAGTTCCCAGGAAATTATGTAGACATGTTTCAGGAAATTCAGTAGTTTAGGTTTTCAAACACTACATAAATACTAATATTTACATACTATTATTTATTTGGGCATAATTAATAAAAATAAAAATAAATTAATAAATTAAATAAATATTAGCGCAGAAATTGAAATCCCGACGAATTGACACAATTTTCCCAGATCCTAGACAATTTTAGAGGGTCTTTCCCACGTCCCGATGGACTTCTGTTCCCGAATCACGGAAAATTTATCTGACATTTCCCAGTTCCCAGGCAATTAAAATGGCCAATCCCGCATCCCGAAAATACCCGTTCCCCCCCTCTATCACTGCAGTTAAACATTTCTGAGCTCATATGACATTTTGCATAGAAAGTAGGGCTGTAACACTCCACCGAAATCGAATCGGGTCGAGATTCTCTTCCCCTATCAAGATCCCTCGATATTATTCCCGCGTAGTTTTCGGAATTCCACTTCGATACCACTTTTTCCCTCCAAGTAATGGCTGGCACTACGCTATAATATGTGGAGTGTTAGCAGTAGCATCATAAATCCCTGAGTTTATATGCTCTGGTGTTACTCCAGCGACCTGTGCAGTGTATAATATACTCCTCTAGCCTCTAGTCTATTCACTCATTTAGTATCATTGGCAATGTTTCTAATAATTTATTATTGCAAAATAATGAAAATATAAAAAATAAGATAACATTTCAATATTTTGGGAATCGAATCGAATCGAGAGGCTTGTGTATCGTTACAGCCCTAATAGAAAGTATAAACTATAGAACTATAGAGAGTATGGGTAGTGTGTTACATGATGCTCACAAACTACCTAATAAACTATGCACCTCCACATTCCACCTGTGCTGCATTTCCCGCAGAAGTGGGCTTTACTTTGTAGTTGTAGAGTAAAATAGTGAAATAAACAACGAATAAAGTTAGTATTTTTATTAAATAACTTTACACCTATGCACAAATTCTGGAGTTTTATGTCCATTGTATCTTTGCGACCAACAGCATAGATCACACCCCCTAAAATCTCATCTAGTGACATGACAGCGGAAAATCGATTTGTGAATAGGTGTGAAATTATTGTGTAAAATACGAAGATAAAGTATGTTTTATTGCCTTTTTACTCTACTAATAAAGCCCTGCCATTCCCGCAGGAGATTAAGTTCGTTGGAAGTATGCAAGTGCTCGACACTAACGATTTTTTTTTTCAGTGGCGCCGGATCGGGCCACCAAAATTAATGTTGATTTTCCAATTTTTTTGGTGGCCCGAAAATAAAATCTGGTGAGGCCCGAAAAAAAACAAAGAAAACATTATAATCTTTGATTTCAATCTCGTATTGTATGTTATTTGAAAATTGGGGGCTGCCGTCTGATGCACTTGCACAAAGTCTTTAAACAAACCAAACACCACACTGACATTGATGATTTGAGGCATACATTTGAATTATCGCATTCCACGCATAAAATTTTCACCAAGAACCGCATTGTTCCGTGGTTCGCTTGATACAATGTAATCCACATGTAGTGCTGGCGCTTGCAAATATGCTATGGCCTCGCGCCCCGGCCGTCAGCAAATTTACCTCTCGCTTAGAAGCTGGTATCGCGGACCCGCCGAACTCGTTTTGTCGGCACGAGCCGTGTACATTGTCTAAGGCAGAGCAGTGAGCCGGATAGCCAGATCTAACAACATCAACGTGGATCTTGTTGCAGGCCGCAGTAAGACGGATAAACCGTGCCCGCGCCCGAGTGGTTCCCGCCGGTAGAATCTGCACCGTGCGTACGTGTCCCCTCGCCTCCGGCGAATTGGCTCGCTCTTTTTGCATGAGAATTAAGCACGTTAGAAACAATTATTTTTATCCACATAGACACTTTCGAAATTATTAAGTGACCCGTCTTCAGGGCCACCCAAAATTTTAACCCTTATTGGAAATTCTTGGTAGGCCGGAGACATCCCAAAGTTTTGTGGCCCGGGCACCGGGCCACCGCGAGGTGTCGAGCCTGTGGCAGTATGCCAATTGTCCACACCAAGTGAAGTGGAGTGGTGTATTAGGTTCGGCCACTTTGCGTCATCTGGTGTAAGTCGAACAGGCTACTCGAAATTATTATCGGGACAAAATACTATGAACAGTGTCGAGTATTTTTCCGTTTTTAATTGATTTCTCCATAACTCGTGCTGCGTCAACCCTCGTACTCTCCCTAGACTATATGAAAAATTCAATAACTGTGTCAGTGTGTGGAACAAGAATGAAGAAATGCAAATGCAATCTTTCAGGTGGGGTGGTAGGTAGACCGAATAATTATGATATCCCATATAGCTTTTTTATATTTTGGTGAGGGTTATATATTGGACAGAACGGGGTTCGTTAAAATTTCTTGAGATCGCATGCAAAATACATGCGCTGCTTAATCGCCCAGACGCCGCTGATCTGGCGCGAAAAAAAACCGTACCGTTCCCTTCTACACTGGCTTTACCTTGCCTACTGATATGTGTATCACATCACTTCAAATCTTATTTGAACTATATCTTAAATTATTGTTTTTCAGAAACCCCGCTACATTTAACCTTTTAGTAAATTACGTGCGCAATTTAACAAACAATCAAGACACATCAGAGCGAGTCTATCAGACCCTCCTGCAGCGCACAATACAAGCGGAACCAGGGGCTATTGAAGAGCTCGCTCTGATTGGTCTGATTGTTTGTAAATGGCGAACGTAATTTACTAAAGTTAAATGAAGCGGGGTTTCTGAAAACAATATTTTAACAAGTAAATAACGATTGAAGTGAATGTATACGAATATCAGTAGCAAGGTAAAGCCATACCGTAACGGACGGTAACGGTAGGTTTTTTTCGTGCCAATAGCGGCGTACGGGCCGCATTCGCAGCGCATGCATTTTGCATGCGATCTCACAAAATTTCAATAAACCCCGTTCTGTCCCAATAACCCTCACCAAAATATAAAAAAGGTTATAACTTATATCATATGGGACAGAATTATTCGGTCTAGGTGGTAGGGGCCTACGCGATTCGGTTGTAGTGTATTTTTCATGGCTACAAGTTACAACACACACGGGGCTCAATTTATCATTTATAAGGCATTTCATCCTATAGTGAGTATAGACTATATGCTTTATCATTTTTGGCATTTGATTTGTTTAGAACCAGCATCAAATTTCTGAACCGAACCGAACGGCGAACGCGTGTCATTCTATACAAGCAAAATTTTTGGTATGTTCAAGTAATTGTGACACTCTGATACAATAGGTAAACTTAAGTTAAATCCAGATGATGGTACATTTTCATCTAAGATAGCCTTACGCTTTGCTAATCCCGGGGCCGCAGCCGTAAGTTTCTGCACGACATTCGCCATTTCGCTGCTGACCAAGGGCAATCCTGTTTGTAAAACGCCTTCCCATTGGCCAGATTGTACACGATAAAATATTTTTCCCTGCATGCAACATCACGGAGAATATCTATCATACTTTTAGTAGTGACTAATAACTAAAGTCAAAATTTGCAATAAACTCGTAAAAACGTTAAGTAAAACGTAGTTCGCACCCAATATTGATAGTTGATGTGCATTAAAAAAACGGTTTAGAATTTTACTAACGCATGGTGGGAGTAATTGCCTTAACCACCCGGCAATATTGTTGTATAATTTGTGTTTACAATTAATCACCGGTTGTTTGTCACAAAATGTAAGAACAAACTAAGAGAAGTATATACACGTAACATTGTGCTTTAGTCTAAATTAACAAATTGGTTATTTCACCATATTTGTAGTGAGTTTGTTGGTTCATGTGCTTGCTCATTAGTTTTTTTACGATTAATTTGAATTTGGTTGATTGTTTTGCAATGCTACTTTTTGGGGCGGATCATAATTCATATAGCCTATAGCCTAGGTGCGGGCGGAGCTACGTCACAGATCAGTAGTCACGTGACCACCAGCAGAACGCCGGTGAAAACATCACTGGCGCCCATAGGATTACTGCATAACTATATGAATTATCCGTCACTTGGTTTGGAAGTTTTAATAAGTTTTTTTCATAAAATATCTTCTAATATGCCTTACGAATACGAGTATATATATATATATAGTATACTTTACGAATAATATAGATAGCCTTTCTAATATAGACACACTCACATGCACACGCATACGCTCGCGCACACACGCGCACACAAGGACACACAAACACGCACGCGTGCACACGCACGCGCACACGCACTCGCACACACAGTGACACACTCACACGCACACACGCACACACGCACGCATACGCACACGCACGCACACGCACTCGCACACACAGTGACACACTCACACGCACACACGCACGCACACAGTTATAAAATAGTAGTTACCTGTCAGCACAAATCGTGGAGAATTTTGACGGACTCCACTGCGTACCATTTACATTTACTCATTTACTCATTTACATTTAACTTTAAGTGGCAGTCAGCCACTTATGACTTATCACGCCTCTCTGGACTCTTATGTCATTTTGGCAGCTCAAAAAAATATCTTTTCTTATCTGTGCAATATATATGATTGTGACAACCTACTACTACACAAGTTTTCGGCATATATACAAGGAAATTATTATGCTTTTGGTTTGGAAATGGGGTATTGCGTGTGTAAGCTCACGGAGACAGGCTGTTGTTTTCACCGGCACAGCTGGTTGCTAGGTTAAGAAAGTCCCGGATGTGGCAAAGTTCCCGGCTGTCCGCCCGCACCTATTGATAATCATATTCATAAATAGTCATGTACATGATACATATCGTACATGACAGAAATGTCTGTCTGTGTTTTACATTCTGCCCCAAAACTTACCTGCCGACGATCAGTATAAACAGGATTTAGGAAGATGATGTCTCGTTCATTAGATTAGTTGCATGACCATTGAATATATGGTACTAAGCCAACCTTTTCGGAAAACTGCAATGCAGTGGGCAATAATTGGAAACAGTTTGTGAACAGTTCAGTTTGTAGTTATCAGCATGAATCCGAGTTAAGAGAATATTATCACTTATTTATTAGCAGACTTGTTAACTATGTGTACCACACCCCTCTGTAAACTGCTTGGTCTGAAGCCTTTGGTCTAATTTTATACATTTTCAAAAAGTAAGAGTGCACTATCATACAGCAGTGAGTACTGGTGGAATTTCCCTTGCCCTCTTTTTTCGTCGGAATGATCAGGAGCCCATTTAGCCACGTGATGGCATAATAGGCCAGGTTGTAAGTCACAATAGGGGCACCCCTCATTTAAAATCAACTGAATTTAGTATACACCAATATCATTATACTTGGATTAATTTCTGTTAAATTACAGTCATCTATTATACGGATATAAAATTACTTATGCAATGCTGTTTACAGGTGCGTCTGTGAACAGTTATACTGTATGTGCTGAATTTATTGACTGTAGAGGCTAACATCTAAACACAGTCACCATGGAGAATGTAGTGGCGCCCCCTAGGCGGAAGAAGACCACGCCACAAGATTCAGTAAGCATGGGCATCATGTGTTGCTTAAATTTGCTGCTCGTGATGTATCGCATTGTGATAATCATCGTTAAAGTGTGTATTTCATCCACAACTATCTAATTGACCGATATCCATTTCAACAAGTCAACCACACCTTCTTTGATATCATTCCAGGTTGGCTTGCTGATGTCACTGGTCAGGTCTTTATCGCAAAGGTGAGATTATTATTTTGTAATATGATTGTAAAATTAATCCTGTACACTGTCATTAATTTTTAGCAACGCCACTGACAATTGTAAAAATCAAGTGCCATGCGAAACAACAGCCAGATATAATGCTCACAGTGTGTCATTGCTATTAGATGAGCCAAGCAAATTTGAAGAAGTTGCAGTTATTTATTCCAAACCTATAACACTCATGTTATCACACTATTCAAAAGCGTAATTGACCCCATGTGCCACCTTATTATCTAATGACACTTTTGACTTATCATTCATGATGTCTGGAACTATAACCCTTCCTAATTTCTGTGTATTATTTTGGTTACTGTCTATCTCATGCCAATGGTAATCAAAGAAATTTTGTGCGTATCATGTATTTCAGTGAGAACATGAAAGAGAGGGAGGATATTAAGAGAGAACTGGAAAGGAATTTCAAAGAATGCGATCAAAACATGGACAAACTCATTCAGAGTATGTTTGCGATCAAGGAATCGCATTGCGAAAAATCTTCATTTATATCTATATTATTATATTATCGATATTCATATATTATCGATATAATTATCATTTCAAGTGGGAATTCTTTAAATTACACAAGTTACAATATCTGAATTTAACTGTACCCTGATTCGGTTATCATTCCATGCTGCAGTTTAAATGTGGTTGTAAAATCTCCAACACTGATTAACATATCTTCTCATGATTTTCAGCCCATCATGAAGATTTGACGTCACTGATTCAAGCTTTCAGTAAAATCTACACCAGGATAACAGGTACCCGAATCTTCCCATTAGATGTAAACTAGTCTCAACACATCACGTTCTGCCGGTAATCGATGAAACGTAATAAAGGAGTTGCATCTCCCATTTCCAAACATGTGAATTGCAGAATGCATTTATAATGTAGACCTGCTATAACAAGGGTAATCGGATTGAAAATTTGTCAAAATTGTGTGCACCGGCAGTGTGCGTGCATGCATCATCAGCTGTTCTATTGTTCACCGGCAGTGTGCGTGCATGCATCATCAGCTGTTCTATTGTTCACCGGTTAATGATTTATTGATGATGATACTTGCAGTATGTTGCTCTGTGATACGCAATATCGTAACTTTTTCTCATATCTATATCGATTGATATGCATCGACAATATGCATGCCACAGTGAGAGGTCTATAAAACCACAGGTGCTCAAAGGGTAAATGAACGTGTGCTTGTGTCGCGCAGGTGCAGGGATGTGTTTGCGATCCAGCAGAACCTGAACAACATCACAATGCAGAGGGAATCAGACCTAATCCAAGCACGATTCTACTACGAGATGCTTTATTCCAGACCGGAGGTACGTGGCGCACCCTGGTGACCCAAGATGTCATTCTGATCGTAACCTCGTGGAAGGAAAATTAATTCTTAGCTCACTTTGGTGTGATGGTAAAAGATTTTATTGCAACTTGGTGGAATGAAAGCAATTTTAGCTTATCTTGGTACGATGGTTAGCAATTTGATTGCGCTTTGGTGAAAGGAAAATGATTGCTTTTTGCTGTGACGTTATATTCCCCGATATCTCCGCTTCCAGACGATTCTGGAGAACGTGATGGAGCAGGGCCCGCGGTTCAGTGAACTAGAGTACATCAATGCGCTCAGCCTCCTGCACCGTAGCCAGCCTGCGTCCGATGAGCGTGATTTCAAGCAGCGGCTGTTCAAGCTGAGAGAGATCATCAACGACACGGTCAGGGTGTAGCGGTGGCTGTTGTTCACCGGCAGTGTGCGTGCATGCATCATCAGCTGTTCTATTGTTCACCGGTGCTGTGCGTGCATGCATCATCAGCTGTTCTGTTGTTCATCAGTGCTGTTCGTGCACGCATCATCAGCTGTTCTGTTGTTAACCGGCACCACGCGTGTGCATCATCAGCTGTTCTGTTATTAACCGGTGCCACGAACGCGCATCATCAGCTGTTCCGTTGTTCACCGGCGCCACTCGTCCATTGCAGTGTCTCGGGAGAAGATCAAGAATATCAAGGAGATGCTGCACTCATGTAAGAGCCTGCTGCACTGCAAGCGCGATGAACTGAAGAAGCTCTATATAGAGGGCGTCGAGCAGAAGCAGGTGCTGGTGCTGCTCGAACAGATGTAAGCTCTCACGCTGCTAGCTGTGATAGTCACGATGCTTCTAAGACGCAAACAGCTGATACTTAAGATGCTAAGATGCCTAACTACTAAGACACTAACAGCTGATACTTAAGCACTGATGTGCTAAGCTACCTACTGGCTAACACATAAACACTATTGCGCTTAATTAGTGAAGCACTTAAGTGCTAAGTCACCTAACAATTGACCATTCGGCAAGAAGAAACATAAGCACTAAAACACCTAACAGCTTACACTTAAGCACTAAGGCACTCAAGTACTAAGCCACATAACAACTGACACTTAAGCATTCATGAATTTAACATCTGGCACTTAAGCACTTAGACACCCAATATATACACTGAAACAGTTTAAGGCTCACAATGCGCATCCAAATGCTAATTTCTCCAGTACTAAACTAGCAAATACTTCGTGTCATGCATAATCACACTACCTTATGACAAAATAAACTCTAGTTCAGCAGCCATTCCAGCTGCGGCCGTTTGGCTTAAACTCAAAGAAAGAGGTAGAAAACTGGTCATTTGGCGCATGTTGCAACACGCTAAAATGTTTTAAACACTTAGCCTGACATGTTGCTAACATGGGATGTTGTTGGAGGCTGAAGAAGGAATTGTTGTTCCCGGGTTCTATAGTATGTAGTTCGTTTACGCATTTTAAGATAGTTGGTAGAATTGTGAAACTGCTGTATATTTGTAAAATCAAAGACTATTAAAGAAAGTATTATAGTCAAGCGTAATATAACGTCAGAAATAAAGTATTGATTTAGTAATCTTGAATCTGCTAAAGCGCGACATCGCTAGCAACGGCCGTAACGAAATACTTTGCTACATTCCCGCTGGACCGGTGCCATGTGCAGATGCAAGTTGCAAACGTGTCAACACACATCGTAGAATTTTGAACTAACAGTGGAGTATTATTTCAAATCACCTTTTATAATTTAAATGCCAGCTGAAATGGGAAGCAACTTAGATTTTATTTTTGTCATAAAAGGTATGTGTGATTATTCATCGCCACGAATATTTGCTAGTCCTAGTACTGTGAAATTAGCGTTGTTTGGTATCAGCTATTGTGGAGGCTTTTCACATCTTGACTACTTGATGGTGCTCAGACATTTAAAATATCATCGACATCGTAAGCGTTTCAGTGTCCCTTAATAGGTCACTTTGCTTGGTGTATAGAAAAACATGGCGAGTCTGGAGCACATTAACATTTGACAGTTTCTTAAAGAAACTAAGACAAGCAGTGCTCAACTCATAAACATTTTCACTAAAAGCACATAACAGATTTAAGCTTATTGTCCAAGTGATTGTTGCTTATTTCTGAATGCACTGCGTCGTGATGAATCCGATCATTTATTATAAGGAGGGGGATTTTTTTCGAAGGAACGATTTGCCAAGGATTGTGCACACATACTTATTTTGTTTTCTGATGAATAGCACGTAATGTAATTACGAGTCATTTTCCAAGGGTATAGTACAATTGGTTGATGCTTGGATTCTCATCTGCTTACTCAACTGTAATCACAGTATCCAGTTGCTTGTTTCCTTTATATTATTTAATTCCGAATTAACTACATTATAATTTATTTATTATAATTAAGTATGTGTGGTGGTATGTTAAAATATCGCAACAGAGAAATCATTGACTTCGGTTCTAATTGCCTGCCTCTCGTTTCCGCAGAGACCAGGCCTGAAGGAGGCTCCTCACGGCTGCATTTGCTACATTGAGCAAGAATGCACTACGTGCATGCCCAGGAGGAGCTGTTCATCGCATTGTGTATAGGCCTGAGAATCCACTGCAGAACCACCCCAATCTTGGTCTTCTTCTTTCATCGCTTGTTCGAGGAAGATCCCGCCGTAGAAGTCACAAACCGACAAAACTCTTCCTGGGATGAGTCAGTAGTATATATTTGGTGGTCACTAAGAGACCTTCATAAACTGTCCAGCTGATTTTGATTTTGATCGTAGTGCATAGTGATTTTCGTTAGTGCAGGAGTTTGATATGATATAGTACAGTCTGGTTATTATGATGGTGTATTCTCTGTGGTTTGTAGTGTCCAAGAGCTGGAAGGATATACTGAGTCGAAGTGGATTGGATTCATCGACCTTAACGTAGAGCTTGAGCAAGACAAAATCGCTTAGTGTGTGCACTCGCAGTGCATGTTGTGTGTGTTCATACATGTGGCTTTTATTTGTGCATTGTGTTGTCATGACATGTTGCTTATTTTGCATTGTGTTTGTGGCGATACATGTGTTGCTTATGTCATCGTTGCATTCTTCGTGCGCTTGTGTCATTCTGTTGGCTATGTTGTGTGTGTTCGCTCTGCGTACATGCTTTTCGTGAAATGCCTGTTTTGCTGCCTTGTTTGCATGGTCATGTGTGGATAGCTTGTGTGCGTGTGAGATGTAGAGCATGTGGGTCGCTGTGTCATTCGTTCGTGCGTGTTGTGCGTACGTTTGAGCATTTGTTCCGTGTTTGAGAAAGCTTTGAGTCGGTGTGTAGTGGTTTTTGTTGTTGTTGTTTGTGTTATTTTTGTCTTTCCCTAAGTTTATACAGCAGAAACCAGATGAGTAGCTGACAATTCGTATCCCTATGGAATAGTCTACGTAAAATAACTAGCAATATATATTATATGCTTACGATATATTATACTACTTGCTCAAATGATGTCCTCCGCCATTATCTGAGACACTTTAGAAGCCCCTGCCACGCGATAACCAGGTATGGAACATGCGTCGATCTGTCGTTGCCATGACTCGCTTGGTAGAACCTGACATCCGTCGAACTAGTCCCGAGGACTCCGACAACAACCTGTTAGCATCCGAATACGAGCGAGAAAACCATCCGTGCGGTCAGCTCCCGCACGAGCCAGGGGTCAGTCACGCTCTACGGTCAGCACGGCTCGCCGCTGTCAACAGCGACGTGCGTTCATCGTCCATCCTCGCGGTCGGCTCCGGGGCTTTGGGCACGCCGTCTGCGTTTGTCGCTAACATACTTTTGACGCCATGGCGAATGTCGCTGAAGGTCTCGGACGGCCCCGTACGCGAGTGCCGACGCCATCGCGGACCAGTAGCCAACACACACTCAACGTGATTCGCCTGCCTAACTATCAGTCGCGAACCGACGTGGCCTTCGCTCTCCACGTGTAATGCTCGGTATACCATGCACCCGACCCACGAACGTCACGACTCCAGAGTGCGCACGACTGTAATGTTACCCCCTTCTCGATTTACCTGTCGTGTACAGACACGCAGCAGCATAAAACACAGTGCACTGTAAGTCAGGATACAGACTGCAAATCTGGGGACGATCCTAACTTCGGTGGCATCATTTGAGATCTATTTGTATTCTCCTCCTGCGTCTCTAATTAGTAATTATGTATGTTCGAACCAATCACGCTCTGATTTGCAGATTCTGACTCAGGCTTAACACCTCTTCACTTCACATCATCCGCACATAGTAACATCAGGATGATGGCCAGGTCTTCATCCTGAAAACTTGTCTTATTAGCATGTATGTATTGACGGTGCTATTCTTTATGTCATTTATGTCTCTATATGTATGCCATCATAAGAGCTGACTGTACTCCATATTGTTTGACTTTGATGTTGCACTTGAACATTGGATTGCAATAATGGCATTTTATTGCATAAATTTATTTAGTTTATGTATTTTATGCTTGAATGCCAAAAGTTTAGTGATCAGTTACTTGGCTCTGCAATGCAAGCAAATGCGGACAGGTTTTTGTATGTTTCCCTCCTGCTAGTGTACTGCTTTAGCGTATATATATATTGGATGGTGTTGACGTGGATTCTGTGTGCCCATCGAGCCGTTACGTATAGGCTCTGTCCATTTAACGTAAGCGGGTGGCGATTGTGGCAGATCCCTCGAGTGATAAGGCACAACACGTGTTCAGGCTGTGGCAGGCGCTCCAGGGTAGCTGCAGTTCCCCGCAATTGCATGCGGTGTCGTGCACTGGCTGCTGCTGCAGCTGGTGTGTCCTTTGCTTGCCTCGAGGGTTCATATCATGCATGTGGAGGGCCGTCCAGTCAACGATAACGCTGCTAATCTTTCTTCGGCGTTCTGGCGAGGGAGGTAGACGAGAGAGAGAGGGTAACGTCAGACGGCATTTGCGGCCTTCCTCATTGCAGTCACTGGTGCGCACCTGCGTGTAAGGTTAAGTATTGGCGTACTAACGTTTATAGATACAAGTTTAACTTTAGAATAACTAAGTATTAGAAAAAACGAGCAGCAACAGAAAGACATCAACTGAGCAACAGCAGTCAGCAACAAAAATTGTAACAACATAACAATAATAGCTAGTTAATATTAATGATAATAATACTTGCTGATAAATTAAGATGCTGCTATCACTTACTCGACAATTAATTATTTTTGTTTATTTGTATTAACCATAGAAAAGTAATACATCCTGTCATGTAATAATTTTCGAGTAACTATCTGCAGAGAGGAAAGCGTGTGAGATTAGGTTGTGCAAAAGAAGTAGATTGGGCCTTGTAATTACAGCGAATTGGTTTGCTGTGTATCCAAAACTTGTCGTGTTTATAACAATATAGTTTTCCGTTTGGTTAAGAGGCAGGTGGCTGCAGCAAGCTTGGCTGACATACGCTGCCGTCCGTCTTGGCTTTTCTGACGCACAAATCTAACCTGTGGTGCTTTGTGCTGTCCTTTGATGCCTGTCGAATTTTGCTGTTACGGGCATTGGTAAACGGAATATAAGCATATAGACGGTAATACAATGGAGAATCTAAACCGTGGGCGCTGCTGTTGTTCTTAAATTTATATCGCGGCGTTATGTTAATACACTAGCGTATATGGCTAGCCCAGAATTTGGTGGGGGAGCGTCTAGCTTCAGTACTAGGGATAAGGAAGGAGTGCAACTTTCGGGGGAAGGGTATAGTAGCGTGCACGTGTGCATCCTATGATATCATCAGGTCAGCCAACCCAGCATGTCAATATAT